TCTCTATCCTATAGCATAAGGACGCTTGTTTAAGTGCACCAATCAGAGCTTTTTCTGCACCACCTGACACACCAGAACCACCTGCAGCAGGCTCTCCAGACTGGACTGATTCATACGCTGAAGCACATTATAAATGTCTTTACTGTCACTTTTGATCAATTTAGTGCATCTGTGCTGAATAAAAGTATCAGTTTCTTTTTTTTTTTAAAGAACAACTGTTGTTGAAGTGAAAAGTTAAGATGCATGTATTTATCTCACCTGTGAATAATCTGTATCCACAGGATGTTAAAGGGCTAGAAGCCAAAGAAATGCAGGCCAGTGACCCCTTCAGAAAGGTATGCGCGTGTTTGTGTGTATATCTCCATGTTTCTTCACTACATGTTCAGTAAACATGTCTCATCTTAGGTGGTGGATGTGTGTCGTGGGATGATGGCTGACATCACGGCTCTGCGTGCCAGAGTTTGTCAACTGGAGGAGGAGACGAGAAGCTTAGATCAACATCTCAACCTCAAACACAGAGAGCGCTACGACACGCTGGTTCGCCAGCTCTTCTCCACATGCATTCTTCTGAAGGTCTGTAAGTTTTCAGTGCTTTTCCACGACATTCTAATTTATTGAGATGCACCTGTAGACTAAAGCCGCAAAAGTTCCATTTTGATATCATAAAATTATTAAAACATGAACTACAGTATATGTAGTGTGATGCTCAGCTCTCTGTGCCGCCCACAGTCACGTCTGGACAAATACCATATGAATATGGACATGATGTGCGACAGCTGGTGAGCAGCGTGAGGAAGGAAGGCGTGGACGGAATCATCAAACTGAAAAATAAATGATCCTCCATTAATGATAACGAGACCCTCATTCACACACTTTATGAGGTGAACTGCTAGAATGAGCTTTGTTATAAAGTTATATAAAAATTTAAATTAAAGTTTTGTAATATCTCACAAAAATATCCAAGTCATAGTTCCCCCCTAAAAAAAAAAGTGTTTATATAT